GAGTGAAGAAGAATAAGATAAGCTGTGATCTGAAGACATGAGCATTCCACGGAAGAAGCTACAAGAAACATTTGAGGAGAGTAAAGTCAAGGAGAAAAATAAGGGGGAAAAAAGATAAAGAAAACGGTTGTAAATGAATCAGCATAATGGAAATCCCTGACTCATCATCAGTGAGTAAAATATATTAAATATTTAAGTATTTTAAGGAAAACCACATTAATAAATCAAAAACTGTTTCTTTCACGCTTGGGTTTGGGAATTGGGAATGGGAATTAGCATGTTATGAGAAATCAGCATGTTTTTGAAAAAACAAAAACTGTAATGTAATGTAATGTAATGGGAGCGGAATATACAGTTTAGAAAGTGTGAAAATACACAAGGAAATTGCATTATAGGGTATTTGTCGAACATCACCTGACCAAACCCGGAAAACAGGACTCATTGCTTCCGCTTGTCGGAGAACGTGTTAACAGCCGTATTAAATAATAGCGATATCTATGGACTTTTAAGATAATCAGTTAAACTAGCTAGCTGTTTTTATTGTTGACGTTTTATTCCATTTTTATATCTAAATGTGAAAAGAATACAAATACAAAAAACTTTTAGATATCAGTCCGCATATGTGATGGACATTGGTTATGATCATCATTGGTATCTACTTTGAAGGCATCTTGAGTAAGACGGCTTCATATTTAACTAAGCATATGCAAAACGCTTGAACCGGACGCGACGAGACCCGGTTAACAGAATACGGAAATCTACCCCTATTGCAGCGTTTAAAGGCACTATAGAAAGCACAGTATGCCTAAGAAGTTGCAGTTTCTCCATTTATCAAGGTGCAATCAGTAGCTTGGTTCTAAGTTTTACACATTAAGGAATATGTTTTTTCCTTAACGCTCACATTAGCAAAAGTTTTCTGTGTTTTTAATTATATATGGCGCAGGTCATCCCCTCTTGGCGAGTTTTGTCATGTTGAAATGACTGTGTTTGAAATTATGAATAATAAATGAAGTGTAAACATCAGTATGGCACTATCCAAAGCTGAAGGCTTTTTTAGATTTGTTTACACACACAAAAATGGTACTATAGGATTTACTTTGACACAATTTATACTCAAAAATTGCAGGTACATTTCTAAAATATTTACAAAGAAACAGCAAGTAACAAACATGAAATTAAACATGAATCTTTATAGCTGAAAGACTAAAATAGAATTGTCTTGTTAGAATTGAACTTTGAAACAGAACAGAACTTTGAAAAATCATTTTTACAGTGTACCTGGATGAACGTGTTCTATGAATCTTTTCTATTGAGATGTAACTTATGGCATGGAAAATTGCCAGTCAAACTATCCAAAACCAGCAAATGTTACTGGCTTGAAAAAATTATTCCCATCTTAATATAAACCACCCCACTCTTTCACCAAGGCACTTTCATGTTCTTGAATACATCTTGGGGGACACGTGGTGACATGTGGTTTGACACTTCAGGGACGATCAGCTGTCTTTCCTGTTTCCTTGTAGCTCTGTCTTAGGCTTCTTACATTACAGACATTGCGGTTTATTGCTCTGGCCACATCTGCAGTCCTCATGCCTCCCTGCAGCACGACTATAGCATGTTCACAAAGATGATCAGGAATCAGGGCATCTTTCTTAGGGTGTTTTTAGAGTCAGTAGAAAGGACTGTAATAATGTCCACCTGTAAACTGAAAGTGTTTTAAGGACCATTCCAAAGGTGCACATGCAATCATTTTCCAATAAACAATTATAAGTTACAAATATGACTCATTGAACATGTATCAAAAATTTAAACCTGTTTAAACCTGTAAAGCGTATTTGGATTTACAAAGTTTTCTTTAAATATAGTATCTTGAAAAATGACTTTTTTATTTATTTATTATATATATTTATTTATTTTTAATTAATTAATTTATTTATTTATTTATGTATTTGTTTGTTTGTTTATTTGTTTATTTATTTATTTATTTTGGCTGAGTAATACAAGTATACAGTCAAATGATAATGTAGTCAATTCAATGTAGCCTTTGAGATTTTCACATTATTTCAGAAATCTACAGGCTGTTCTGTGCAAACAAAAGATTAAAGCTTATTATTGCCATATACAACATTTAAAAAATGTAATATTTATTGGCCAGTGATAAGCTTTAAAAAGGCATTTTGTTATGTTGTCGTTGTTGTTGTTGTCGCTGTTGTTTATGGTTTAATCTATAAAATAAACTGAATAAATGTAGGGTACTAAATGTATATGCATTTGTAATCTTAAAATATGTACATATAATATATATATGAATGTATTGTTGTTGTAGTAACTAACATTTTACTTGATAATGGGTTTTAGCATTGAATGCTTATGGCCAATGATGATTCTATAATGATTATTCAGTGCAGCGAAACCTCAACAATAAAATGACACCTTTTAATACTCTAGATGAAACCACCTAGTCGACCTGAGTTGTTTGATTTTGAGGGTGTTTCTATGATCCACAACTTCACTGACAACTGGGAAAAGGTAAAAAACTTTCAAGCAAGACCTGATGACATTCTAATCGCCACTTACCCCAAAGCAGGTGAGGGCACTGCACATTTAACAATTTTGCCAGAATGTCATGTGACCACATAACTCATACAATATGTTTTATTTATTTATCTATTATTTTCCCCCTTAGGTCTATTTTTAATATCAGTAAAGATTTTTCGGGACTTAATTTTTATGACTTGAAATTCCCTCATTATTCACACACAAGCTTTACTGTGTGCCAGACTTCACTATATTTTACACCACTTCTGGTCCATCCATCCATTCTCCAAACCGCTTGTCCAATTTAGGGTCACTGGGAGTCTAAAGCGTCTCAGACCAGAGCTGTTCCGGTGTTAGGAATAATAGTGAGCATATATATATAGTTTGTTTAAAGGGGTCATATGATGTTGCTAAAAATAACATTATTTTGTGTATTTGCTGTAATGAAATTTTACGTTTTGTTTATGTGGTTTAAAGTTAAAAAAACACATTATTTTCCACATACTGTACATTATTGTTTCTCCTCTATGCCCCGCCTTTCTGAAACGCGTCGATTTGTACAAAGCTCATCGGTCTGAAAAGCGAGGTGTGCTCTGATTGGCCAGCTATCCAGTGCGTTGTGATTGGCCGAATACCTCAAGTGTGTGACGGAAAAGTTACGCCCCTTACCATACTGTGATGCCCTGTCCGGCCGGAGCGACGAGACAAAAACATTAAAACCCATTATAAACGAGGCATTTGTTGCATCCAGTGGGGACATAATTACGGATTATAATGACTTATACTGTCTTTTTACGCGTTGCATCGCGCCGCGTAAACATAAAACCGTGTCTGCATTTGTGATCAGAGAAATGACAAACAACAAGTGCTACTCTACACTGCTCAAAACTCG